GTATGTTTTGGAGAAGAATCACTGAATCACAAGGCAACTATACTCCATGTCCCCCTCCCTTCCACTACATTTAGAAAGGCCACAGGGACAGTGAATACCATCATACAACGTGAGGAGATTCCCATGTCTAGGTAGAGCTGAAGTTAAAACTTAAGTGAGCATATTTTAACTGGCTTTTTTTTTAAGTTAAAAATTCCTTAATTTTTTATTCCTGGTACCACTACAATTTACAGGGCAATAACACCTATGTAATGAAAAGAAAAAGACGAAGCTATAGCAGATAAAAGACTTTAGGAATTCACGTCTAATTGATAGTACATTGCATTAATCATAGCTGCACTTTTACAAACTCACTGTGACAATCCTGAACAAGAGGGGTTTCCTGTGTAAGCTGCAGTAACTATTCTGACTGTGGGTCATTGTTCCTTCTGTGGCAAATTTTTGCAGTTCCTCTAATGCATTTGGGACAACTTTCTCAAAACAACCTGCAGCTTTCCTGATAATTCCTCACTCTATCGCTAAGAACTGTAGCCCGTTTTCTGCTGTTTTTAAAACTGTTACCATATCCACCACTTCTATCACCAGGTCTGTGACCAGTACTGCCAGAGCTTCTTCCACCAAAACTTCCCCTCTTTATGGGTCCATAATTTGACTGCTGTTGTCCACAACAATTTCCAAGATCATTATTTAACGGACTTTTAAAAATATCAAATTTTATAACCTTACCATCTTTTGTTGCTTTTTCTTTTACCACAGGTCATCTATTCTCCAATGGAAAATTAGGAAATGTAATTCTTCTGAGATGAACTCTTTCCTTCCAGCTTCCTTGTTCCTGGCTCCTACAGGCCTGAGGCCCAAAGTCTTTCGTCATAGGATTAGAACCAGTGTCTTGAGACGAGAGATCTCTCACTGCACACAGAGAACTCTCCCAGATGAAGCAGAAATGGTGACCCACATGGGAGACATTCATTTAGAGACTGAGAAGCTGTGGGGTGGGTGCTGTCCACAGGGGAGCCAAGTTTTCTTCCTAGCTTGCGCCAGAAAATTGCTTTACCTCCTGGAGACCTCCTGTCTGAAATGTAAGGGCTGGGCGGAGTCCATGTCTGGGGGTCTGAATCTCTGACAGCCTAGTCAACAAAGGCAGCACTCTGTTGGAGGGACACACAGAAACTTATGTCCACCAAGCTCTGAAGAGTAGCTGAGGTGGCTGGAGCGCTCTAGGTCATTTCAGGCTGAGGATTACGGCTCCTTTGCTTCTCTTTTTCTGTGCTGGGGATTGAGCTCAGGTTAGAGCTCTGCGACTTCCGTCACTCTCCCAGTCCTTTCTGTGTAAATATCCAAAATCTCCTGGGGCTGATGTGGACACCTCCCTCCCCTTGGGAATCCAAAAATCACATTTCCTCACCTTCCCCACAATCACTCAACCAGGAATGTCTCCCAGCACAAGAAATTTATTACATACAAGTAATCTGTTATGGGAAGACATTGCTTATCAAAAACTTTGGATTTGGAATACTGAATGGCGACTCTTCTGCCAGCCCCGGTTTAGGCAGCACCCCATTGTAGTAATGTCACAGCACAGTGAGTTCTCAGGCTGCTTCTGGTCTGGGGGAGGTGCATAGAAATGAGGTTCTGGTTGGCTAGAGGAACAGACTCTGGTTCTGTCCATTTACAGCCACTCAGTGAAGAAGCTACCTGTGTGTGCTCTATGCAGACATGGGTGGAATCTCACTAATGAATCTTGTAGATCAGGTGGCAGTGACTTGGATATTTGCTGCTTCCTCTTCAGTTCAGACAGGTGGGAACGATGGTTCTAGAGTTGTCCCAGGTCGATAGTTGGTGAGGGAAGCTGCCATAATGGAACTTGGTCCATAGTAGCTGGTTAAGAAGGTAACACTCATATTTTCTTTTGCTGATGAAATTGTTTAATTCAGAGTCAGGTACTTTTTAATGTAAGTTTGATGAAAACTTCTGTACCTTAATGACTCTAACGCTATATACTTAACGTATTTTAAAGAGGTAGAAGTTTCTAGAAGCCTCTTCGCTCTTAAATTATTTCCACTGATAGGGCAAGCATGGTGCCTGCCCACAACTCTTGGGGGTGTAAGGTGCATCTCTCTACCACCTACACCTTGCTTTGACCAGGAACAGTGAATTTCACCAAAGGACTCAGGTTTAACCAGCAGCCAGTTCTGGGGAAGGACCGGCAAATCTGTTTATGAGACTTACAACCCAGGTTACCATCTTTTGCTTTGCCATCAAGGAAAACGAAGAAATCAAGCTTACCAGTAACATTACTGATTTTGGCTCAGATTCTTAGTAACCGCTTATCATCTTTGAAAGAATATGAATAAAAAGCAATGAAACCGGCACTCTTGTAACTGAGTTGCTTTATTCCTTTCTCACCTCTGTCTTGGGCTGGTGCAGCCAAGCTTTGCCAAGTAGCCCAGAGCAGGTGGATTCAAGCCTCTTTTGGGGGTTCAACAGTCCATTTAGAACCTAAGCCTGCCCTGGAACAGCTATGTGGTTGTCTTGTGGACACTGTTGGTCCTTTCAGATAGCTAGAAGCTCTTCTATGACAGCACTTAATGCTCCCCAATTAGTGGGAGTTCTAGGTTCATACATTTAACGTAAGGCTGAGCTAACTGCCTTGATTGGTCAGTCTGGCAGACAGCGGCTCAATGAATTTCAACAGGTCACATTTACATTCTAGTCAACATTATGAACAGCCAACGTCAAAATACTGCACAATTACATTTACTGCAAGAGTTTACGGAGTTTAGGGGTAGGTGAGAAAGGGCTTGCCTTGACCAATCATCAAATAAGCACTCCCTTAAAAGGAACCTGTATATAGGCAAATAACCAGAAATAAGACACAAGTTTTTGACCTTCCCAGTTGTTGAATATGCAACATTTTGTGTATATGTGGGGAACCAGCTATGAGGAAAATAATGTGATTACAATAGGCCCCTTCAAATACAGTTGGCACACAGGAAAACAGTCTAACCATTCTCCAGATAAGCTAGGCAGTATTCAAAGGCCTTAAAAATATTTACTCTCTGGTTAAGCCACTTAGTTTCTAAAAATTTATCCTAAGGGGTGGATCAGACAAGTAGAGAAAGCCTGAGTTGGAGTGTTCATTATGCAGTGCCTAAGTAAAAGTTTACATTTCTAACTCTTTTGCATTTTGTATGTTAGTCATGTGGGGGGGGGGAAACCCTGCAAATGTTATGGGGAAATACTTGTGGATGCAGTAAATAACATTCTTACAACTTTCCAAAATGTATTTTGTAAATCCCACAATGGAAGCAAAGAAAGCTAGAAAAAAAATTATAACTGCACAAAACTCAAGTGTTCAAATTTCAGTTTTGCTGCATATTTAAATTAAAAAAACATCAATCAATCCTTTCTTCCAAATGCTCCCATTTGACCACTTGAACCACAAATGAACAAAACTTCTGGAGACACAAAGGTTATTAAATAATTTGTTTATTGTACTGCATTTATAAAGAAAACAGACAATGCACTCAGTAGAAAGAATAAAAAAATTACCAGGGCTTTCTTTTTAACAAAGAGCAATCAGAAATCCTTTAGTGAAGTCATGGCAATTTGACAGTATTATGATTAAGCTCAAAATGCACACGAGCACCTGGAAGGTAAGTTCTACAGCCGCCTGCTCCTAGGTCTTCTAATTAATCTGGTTCCTTAGGTGATCAGAGAAAAGCCCTTATTTAGTGGAAACATTTCCAAAATGAAGTGACAGGTGCGCTCCTATTAAAATTCCTGTCATGTCAATAATTAAAATGGGGCCTTCTGTTTGCTCATTTTTGGTTATTTCACCTTATTATCACCAGACTTCCTGTAATTCCCACAACTGTGATCTTAAAAGTAGAAGAGACTTCAGTTAAGTCTGATATTGCTTTAGATGTAGATACCGTTGAAAACCCAAAGTGGATTAGATTCTAGAAGGATTTCCCTGCCGTTGTGTGATACAATCTGTTCTTTATTCTTGATAGGTGCATAGATAGCCTGACTTAAAAAAAAAAATTCTTTCTACAGGAACATGTCTGATTTCAGGAGTAACCAATCAAGGATCCGATGAATAGCTGGCCAGTTCCTCTGAGTAATATGCTTGAGTCTCATGGATTGCATAATCACTCCACTTTTCCTTTTCCACGTTGGTAGATAAATGTGAGAAAATGATTCTAACCTCCCATACAGAAAGGAGGCCACTTGGCAGTTTCACTGGTAGTTTTCTAGTAGTCTTGGGTTGCATCTGGACTTTCTGTAAATGAAAGAATTCTAGAGCCGCCTCCAGAGAACTCTGCAATTCCCAAGGCCTGCTTGGTCCATGCTGTATAAGTGGCTTTGACACCAATCCTGCCCCTCTTCTGAAGCTCAGTATTACTGAACAAAAGGTGTTTTAGGGCTAAGCCTAAAAGAGGCCAATTCTAAAATAAAATTCACAAAGCCTTTTCGCATTAAGAGGAAAAAGTACACTTCAATCATGTTAAGATTGCAGCTAAAAACTTACATTATACAAGGAAATAGCAGCAGAGAATGGCTAATCTTAAAAAAAAAAATGGGGGAAGAAGAAGAAGAAGAAAAAAGCCAACGAAAAGTGCCATCCCACCCCTCCTCTTGGTTCTTTTATTCAGGGTTTCATTAAAGACCCCAAACCTCTGAGGAAATGAGAACATCAAAGCCACAGAGAAACTGCTTCAAGGCAAGAAATTTGGGCAAGGTAAAGAAAAACAAAACAAAACAGCGTGGAAAAGAATCAGAACCCTAGGACATTTTTCCCTTAGCTGGTAAAACTCTGGAACCCAGATGTCCTTTATGGAGCCACCTCAGTTCTTTAGTTATGGGGCAGTAAGCTCAAACTGAATGAATAAAATGCCAGCCAGGGTTAAAAACTAATAAAACTGCAAACCCAAATCATTCTGGCTCTTAAGATATCAGAAAATACATGGTGAAAGACTATTTGCAGAACACCTGAGAATCAAGAAATTATTAATCAATGGTTCTATTTTTGTTTACATTAAAAACTGACTAAAGATTTCAGGATCTTAGTCATGAAAGGAGTATCATAGTGCTTTGAATAGTGATAAAATAATATCCAAATTTGGTGTATTTATACAGCTCATTAAAAAAGGTAATAGCATAAAAGTCGCGGGAAAAAACGTGAACATAGAAAACAACAGAAACCATCCAGGAAGATGGTACAGCCTGGATACAGCAAGTTTAATATCTCTGCTGTACACAGAATTAACACCCTTTCCCCCTCATCCTTGTGCTGGCAATAGGATATGCATTAGAAAATTTGACTCTTAGAGTCAGGGAATGAAAGGATGAGCGCTCACATCTTGATCACTCTTTTTAAAAAGGGTGCTGATACTTTAGCGGGTGTTCCAATGGAAAGGAGAAGCTACAGGGCAAGAGGCTGTTTCACATTTTTTAGTCCATTAGTCTTGGGCAGCGGCTACCGAGGCCAGATTCATGTAGGATGCCCCAGGGCTGTGGAGATCTCCACAGGGTCAAAAAAGAAAAGGAACAATTTAGAAAGCCCTGAAGAAGGAGCTTCACCCTAGAAAGGGAGGAGGGGATGCCTGAGGGAAGGCTGGAAGATCAGTGTGGTGATCTCTGCTGCAGTGGCAGGCAGGGCTTAGGAGTTCAGCCAAGGATGCTGCAGACACTCGGCCGCAGTGGCTCTCTTCTCAGGGATGAGCTCCAGCATAGGCAGCAAGAAGTCTGTGAAGCCAGCTGCCTCCTCCTGAGACCACTCATACTTCTCCACTAGAACCTCAAGAAGGCCCCAGGGCTTCAGCTTTGTGATGTGCTTCAGGTCACCTGTGGTGAAGACAGTACAAAAGAAACTGACCAACACTGACAATGGACAATTTCTTCTTGTGGAAATTCAAGACCTAATCCAGGCAGTCTATAAATACAGACTCAGAATCTGTAATCACAATCTAATGCTTCATTCACAAAGCACTTCTCTCATTTGCAAAAGAAATACCTGTTTGTCATAAAGTCCTAAAAATTTAAGGTAACTTGTTTTCTCCCCTATTCCAGATATTTTTTTTTCCCCAGTTAAGTTGGGTATGCTTTATCAAGACTAGATGAATACAAATGCTGATTCTCACACATGTCTACACATGGACTCGTGGTGTGCAGTCAATCATCATGCAAAACAATTTGCTGAATTTTTTTTTGTTGTTTAATAGTCTAGCAAATGTTGCTTCAAAATGAGGCAATGATTTAAAAATGGAGAGCCAACAGCATGCCAAATACGTATAAAGTCAACAAAACTAAGAGAATAGAACCTATATAGATTTCAGACACAACAGAATCATTCTGAAACCTCAATCTAATTGCTTCTTTGAAGTGATGCCCCACCCAATCCATGCTAGTGGGGATGGAACCCAGGGTCTTTTGCATGCTCAGCAACCATTCTACCACTACAACCCTCAATCCTGAAGTGACAATTTTCTTGAGAATTTTGGGGTGGAGACTGGGTCTTGCTATGTTTTTCAGGCTATCCTTGAAATTGTGGGCTCAAGTGGTCCTCTTACTTCAGTCTTCCAAGTAGATGGAGAATACACATGTGCCCTGTGTCTGACTGAAGTGACAATTTTTAAAAGATAGTAAATTACTAACGGCCAATTAAGGAAGATGCTGCTTAATTTTTTTTCAGATATGATACTTATCCACAATCTTATCTGTGGGGAGTGAGTGTCTAATTACCAACTTGGTATACATGCCTATCTTAATTTGACTTTGTACACAAAGAGGAACTCTTAGAAGGACTTCTCCAATTTCCTATCCCAAAAGAGGTTGAAGAAGGGGTAATGTTTCTGAGGATACCTCCTGTAAAGGGTTGAAAACAATTTTTTTCTCAGTACTTGTGTAGCAGTTGTGAAGAAAGGGGAACCATGGCACAATGGAGAAAGAAAGGCCAGACAGTTTTCTAGATCCTTCTGTTAAGTTTTTCAGAGTTCAGTTTTATTTGGAATGCGTAAGAAATACATATCAAAAATTCAAAGTGAGAGTTTATCTTTGTTCTTTCATTAACACATAGTAACATAAATGTAAGAAACTGCAAAGTGTTAAGTCAGCTTGTATGGCGAACATGTTAGGTACCACTGTGATACAAAGGTAAACGAGCCAGTCCTTAGACCAAATGCAGTGAAAACGTGTTCATTTTTCAGAGGTGTTATTGTAGGAACAATCACCAATTATGCCTAAGGCACTGTACGCATAATAGCTAACTTAGCATGAAAGACAGATCATCTTTCCATTTAGAAACCAGCAATAGGGAGGCTGCATTAAAATTGCAGAGCCAGTGGAGCAGCTGGGATTTGACGTTCTGTCTCCATTCTCTACTTGACTGTACTATCTCACCTCTCTGCTAAATCACACTTCAACATTTAAGGTACACTCACCTTTCTGCAGGATACTGGGAACATGTATCCAGTGGTACTTACCTTTTGATTTTTAGACACTTTTGTACCGTCTGGGAACAAATACACTTGTTTTACCTTTTTTGGTGAAAAATTCCTTGGAATATTTTCCTGCCACAATGAGCTTGCGAGGCACCTTCCCCAGAAGTTCTATGATCAATGCAATGTGATCTGCATGTTTCAAATATTTCAAGAGGGGGAAAAAGATATACATAACAGGAGTAACAAACGTAGTTAGACATAGGCAGAAAGAGTCACATGCACACATCTTTGTAAAGCAGTTCAGGCTTATTTTCTCTCCTAAATGACAAATGGACTCCAATGGAGAATTCATAAAATACCAGGCGCCCAATCCAGTGGACATGAGTGACAGCTAAAAGCAGTCTTGCTGTGAATGCTCAGCTTCCTGAAGCTGTCGCCCTGGGGCCTAGACCGAAACTCATGTTAACAATACCATCTCTGCAACAAGAAGTTGGGAGTATGTCCCACTAAGGGCAAAGTATCTTCAATGTCTATCAGCTCCATAAATGTGAGCAATGTGAGTAAAATAGAGCAGGATCAAGGTCAAGCTATAAAAGAGCTTTCTACAAATAGCTTTTTAAAGGACTAGCTGTTTAAGAGCAACTACAAACAAAACCAAGGCTACTCAAGGAGACTGGGAAGGCTAAGGATTACTTCCTAATGGCAGCTGGCAAAATTGTGAAAACTCTTCTACAACTTTTCAAGTTCAAGTGGGTTCTTTGGGCTAGGTAAAACAAAACAAAACCCCAAAACAAACGAAAAACCCCATTCCCCCACCAAACAAAACATGCTAACATGATTTAGGCATTCTAGAACTTTATTTATAATACTGTTCTGGGCTTCAAGGAGTAAAAATGTCACCATGGCTCAGAATGCTTGTGACAATGCATGCACAGGCCAAAGATTATAAACTTTGTTTTTTTTTTTGCAGTATGGGGCTAGAACTCTTGAGTCTTGCACCTGCTGAGCCCTCAGCCCTACTGTCCATTTTAAAGATGAGAAAATGGGACCTCAGGAGACTAAATGGCCTACTTGAAGCTTCAGGGCTCAAAGAATGGAACTCAAATAAAACCCCACATCTTATGTTTAGCTCAGAGATTGAATCCCCCCCTCATCACCCCAATCACACTTTAAAATTAGAACATTTTAAAAGTATAGCTACTTGGCTATAGGTTACTCAAATGTCCAGGTCGTAATGTGACAAGTAACTCGCAGTATGAATATGGACTGTGATCACTGCCAGGGAGGCGGGCAGAGTGCTAGCTGGGAGTGAGTTTGGTACTGGCCAGCATACAAACCTCCAGGTAGTTCTCCTGAACCTTTCACTCTTCAGGTGACAGAAATTAAGTCTAAGGAGAGGTTTTATAAAAATAATAACCCATAGCCAAAAAAGAACTTTTATAAATGACTCCATATGACTTATAGAATCATTAACAGTTAAAAAAGGGTTGATGGAGTGGCTCAAGTGGCAGAAAAAACAAAAGACAAAAAACAAAACAAGAGTTACTCAAGAACCTCCAATTATGTGTATTAAGGGGAAATAATATACTAGAGACATCAATGTTATTTAGGAATCTGTTTGGGCCTCATCTCTTTCTTACTTAAAGTATCTAGTGGTGTCATTTAAAAAGGACTTTTAAGTGAATTCATTATCATCTTGGAGTAGTTCTGACTGAGATAATGGTTTGGTAACAAGTACCTGTCTGGCCAAGAAATTTCTGCCAATTTTAGGCAGGACCTGCAAATAAATGTCTTTGTATAAATTACCAGTAGCAATAAGCAAAGTGAGACTACCAAGGGAGAAGAAAGACTATAGCTTCTTTTCTTACAAACTTCTAAGCAAAGTATTAGTCCTTCAAAATACTTTCCTATACCAAGAAATTGCTTTCCTCTTGAAATTGTTATTTTACATTTAATTCCATTTACACTGATAATCTTTGGCTTATCAACGATAGGCAGAATTGTCAAGTATTATTCCAAGAGCCAGGGCTATGGAATGTGAAAAGTAACAGATGACATGCTACCCAGTCCTACCATGACTGGTAACGAACCACACACACTCATCAGCGTATTAAGTTTTCTTTTTTCCTGCTCTAGCAGGACAGGCCAAATTGCTGTAGAATAGCGTGGGGAGTGGGACTGAAGAGCGTTCAGGTGTGAGCCAGAAGCTATTAGTACTAACTGATGTAGAAGGGAATAAGTACCTAGGGAAGATGGTCCTCTCGTCTCCTTACTTGGGACTTTTCACATCTATTTCAATTTTTGGTTTGGTGGCTTCAGGTCCTACTCAGTATAATTCTAGCCGCTATGTATGAGACATAACAGATATAATAGGGTGTTTAAAACACTATAAATCTGTACCTCCAAACTTATGACCTTTCCCGCTGCCCTAAGCATCAGAGGATAGGAAAAATCAAGTATATACAGTAGTAGCAATTAGAGTATCTTCTAACAGGGGGCATGTGTATATATCTATCTATCTATCTTATATATATATATATATATATATATATATATATATATATATATATATATATATGAAACATATATATATATATATGAAACATATATATTATAAACATATATATATATATATATATATATATATATATATATATATATATGAAACATGCTAAAATTATACAAATTATACCTACCAAAACAGGCACTTGGCTATGGGGACGAGTTAGCACACCATTTTCCAAACAGTATTCACTAGGAATATTAGCAGGCTATACTAACACTAACACTGCCTGTTAATATCCCAGGGAACCACATTCTGAGGAATAAGAGAATATTCTTGGGTCCACAGAATACTAACGCCTGGAGCAAAGCACAGCAAATGGAGGTCACACTGGGAGGCTGTGCAGCTAATGCTGCATCAAAGTAATCCTTATTAATCCTGAAAACAAAACAAGTGCTGCCTAAACTTTTTTTTTCTTTCAAATTAATAACTCATTTAGTTATATGAACACACCAGGATGGACAATACGCATGCAGTTGTCTGCTTCCACGGCCACCACAAAACCGAAAGCCATTCCATTTTGTTTTAAAATGAAATTCTAAATGTTAGTATACTTCTAATTTTTAGAAAAGGGGAAAACAATGCTAAATATTGCAGAATATAGTGTTTGCAGATTAAAATTATTGGCTTCCAAATACAGCTGAAGGAAGGCATAACTGAAAATAGGTTGATGAAGAGGTAAATTCAAACGGTAAAAAATAAGTCATTAACCTCTAAAGGAAGATAACTAGATGATGAAGAAAAAAATTACCTGGCAAATTAAGTTTTAGTTTAACCAACTACAGCCTTTTGTTATGTTAGAGCGCTTCAGGATCTTTTAATAAAATACCTAGTATATCTGATACCTAATATAAAAATCTTTTTTTGTTTCTTAGCTTTCTTTGAGACAGGGTCTTGCTATGTAGCCCAGCTCTAAAATACCTTTCACTTGTGTCACTCCGAGACTTACATATACCTTAGTCCATTAACAAGATTACTAAGGCTCAGCAGTGAGAAAAACTACTAGCTGTACATGGAGGTGTAAGCATCATGAAGAGGCATCTTTGGTCAAGAGACTCACCTTCATCTCGAGTATACTCTTCCCCTGAATGAGGTTCAAACAAATAGTCGCCTGTGGCTAGTTCAAAGGCCTGAGGAAAAGAGAGTAGCATGTGAAAGCATCATAGACAAAGAAGGCCTTTGGAAAGTTTACTGCTATTTGACTGAATATTAAGTTTTATTTCCCTTCCACAGAAAATCTGTAGATGACCATTTAAAAAAGCCTAAGATTATTCCTAAAGAACTATCCTCTCACTGCTGTACGTTATTTATTTATTTTTGGCAGGACTGGAGTCTGAACTCAGGGCTTCACACTTGCAAAGCAGGCACTCTATCTCTTGAGCCACATCTCCAGTCTGTTTTGCTCTGGTTATTTTGGAGATGGGGTCTCAAAAACTATTTGCCCAAGCTGGCCTTGAACCACGATCTTTCCAATCTCAGCATCCCAAGTAGCTAGGATTACAGGCATGAGCCACCAGTGCCCAGCTTCACATCTATATCTTAATAAAATGAGAAAACAGCAACAACAAAAACAAGTAAGAAAAAAAAACCTCAGCAGAGAATGAGGAAAAGTTGGAAAATGGGTTCAAGTTACATATAGCACAAATTCTAGCATTCTATTAGTCAGTACAGTGACTACATTTAACGATCATTCACTGGCTATTTCAAAAGCACCAGAAGGGAGGAATTTAAATGCTTTTACCACAAGCAAATGATAAATGCCTGAGATGATGGAAATGCTAATTACTCAAACTTGATCACTACATACTGTATACATGTACTGAAACACACACTCTACCCTATAAATATATGCAATTAACACCACCCCCCCAGAACGAGCCAGCAATTCAGTCCTCTTGAGTTCCTGCTTTAGACAGAAGAGGACACACCTGGATAGTAAGGGGATTCTAAATTACTAAATAATTGGTGAGAGAACAGATCTCATATGGCTTGAAACTTAACTCTATACCCCCAATCAAAACCAAATACTCAAACATCTTTCTACACACGACTCTTCAATGTGAGACAGAAAGTACACTCTCTAACTTTGGCATACACTACACGTCCCAGATGGAGAGCTTCCAATTCTTAGTCCACAGAAAATCAGGAAAAGGCTAAATGACAATGGAGTCAGGAGCCAGACTATTCCATGAGACCAGAGAGCTGGTTAGCACTCACCGTGATAGGATGAGAAAGGCACATATCCCTTCTTACAAACGATCCGAGAGTGTTTTCCTTTGGAATAAATGTCAAGCAGTATGGAAAGGACAGCATGGAACAATGGGAACATGAATTTTCCATTTGATTACAAATGGATTTTTCAAAAGCAAACACATTATGATGTTTTAAATAAATGGCCTCACTGGTATTAAAGTACAATTATAAACCAACTACTATTCATAGGTCAATTTTGATTGAGTTCGTAGTTCTAAGTAATGTAGATAATCTCAAAACTGTGAGGTGGATTTAGTCGGGGCACAAACTCAATTTAGAACTAGTGTAGGTCTTTATTTCTTGTCTATCCTACTGTTCACATGAAGTATAAATCCAGAAGTTTTCCTTTCCTCTAAAATGTCAGGGTATGGTTTCTTGTTAGGTATAGGTCATTTTACACTCTGTTAGTTCATTATGAAATGGAACCACACCAACATAGTAGATTCCTATTCTACCCTGAATTATCTTGAGGGTTAGAGTCCCAGGGCAGCACACAAACAAACTGTGTTTCTTATCATTAGCACTTCCTAATCTTTTTTGAAAATAAGTACTGTTTCAAAATCTTAAATGTCACAGTGAAGACAATGAAATTAAAGTTTAAAAAAATGGCTATTATTCAGAGAATTTTCTGGAGGTTGAGGGACTAGCTCAGAGATAGAACATATGCTTGGATGCACAAGGCTCCAGCACAAATAAATAAAAATAAAAAAGGATACATGCTTTATACTACATGACTTTAAAACTATACTACAAAGTTACAGTAATTACAACAGCATGGATCACTGAATTTTCAGTGGTCAGAAGGGTGCCTCTCAGGAGGTTATGTTTGAGCCAAGACCTGCTCGAGTCAAAGGAGAAAGGGCCTGCAGTTCCCAAAGTGACAATGAACTTGACCAGATTATGGAAATAAAACTGGATTCTGACTCAAGTAGATGTAATTAAAGCATTTAAACCAGGAGAGTAAAATGATTTGATTAATAGTATCATTCAGGCTGTTATAAGAATGTAGCATAAAGGAAGAAAAACAGAAGCAGAGGAAGAAATTTGGAAGTCAGGTAGTTAGTGATCCATGTATGAAATAACGATGCCTTGGGCTATAACGGATTAATGAGAAAGGTAAGAAGTGGTTGGTACTGGATGTATTCTGAAGAAAGAACTGAACTCACTGATGGACAAGGTATAGGGTGAGAAGAAGAAGAATTAAGGCTGGGTGCTGGTGGCTATGCCTGTAATCGTAGTCACTTGAGAGGCTGAGATCGGGAGGATCATGATTTCGCCAGTTCGGGCAAATAATATGTGAAATTCCTGTCTCCAAAATAACCAGAGCAAAATGGACTGGAGGGATGGCTCAAACAGCAGAGCCCCTGCTTTGCAAGTATGAAGCCCCAAGTTCAAAACCCAGGCCCACCAAGAAACAAAAAGAATTAAAGTAAAACTCTCTGGTTTTGAGTTTTTGGTCTAAGTGACTGAGTCAACATGGGGATCATTTATAAAATACGTACGGGGTAAATAAAGAATTTTGAAAATGTTAATTTGAGATATTTATTACATATCGAAATGGAGTTATCATGTAGATAGTTGGACATACAAAAGGTAAACAAGAAGGACAAGATACTGCCATAGACTTAGAGTTAAAGCTTTTAAGTTTTCTTTGACAATCAAAGTATTCCTAAAATAAACATCCAAACACACAACTATGTGAACTGACACATGATCAAAACAGGGACGATTCTGTCCCAGGATCTAGGGCACCCTAGCTGGTATCAACTCATAGTCCTCCTAAAAACTGTGTGCTATTCAGTGGGGTTATCATGAAGTCCTACAAATCCATCTTCCTTGTGAAGGAAATGTTTGCATCTCTCAATTCCTCTTGCTTCCTTTCCTGTTTAAAAGGCTTTCTTTAGGGGCTGGCAGAATGGCTCAAGTGGCAGAGCACTTGCCTAGCAAGTGTGAGGCCCTGAGTTCAAACCCCAGTGGCATCAAGAAAAACAAAGAAGCTCTGCTTTGAGAGCTGTGCATTTTATTTTAATGTCCCCTTTCTTTGCGTGCAGCAAATGCCCAGTTCTTCTGAACATACTCTTCAGTTTGGACACTAGCAATTTCATTACAGAAATTAACCGAAAGAGACAAGGTTAAGCTTTTGAAAAGGCTGGAGTAGCTCTGTTTAACAGAGAACTATGGCAGCTGCAGTAGCAGCAAAAAAAATGAAACCTATGGGCTTCAGTGTGAAGGACTGGGGAATGACATGAAAAGAACTGACAACACTGCTGATTAAGATGGTATCCTAGCCTACCTGCATGAAGGTGGGTGAAATCAAATCAGTCTCTGGTAAACAGCTACTGGGCAATGGAGGTATTTTTGCCTTTTCATTCAGGCAGCTCAGATTAGAGCTTGGTGATGGTTGAGGAAAAGGTGTATGGGTCAATTTATAGCATTTTGGATTTTGTTAACTTTAGGACCTTTCAACAGCATTTAGAGTTCTAGACAGTTCCTTCCTTGCAGTGATGGGGACTGAATCCATAACCTTGAACATGAGGAATAGCCAAGCACTCTGCTGAACTCAGCCCTCCCCATTCCCTCCCCCGTTCCTTTTTGTAACCTGCCTCTAAACTTTGTCTCAGTCATAAATGTGGCAGACAACTTTTCTACTTCTCTCTACCTCTCAGAAAGGGTATCCATCTTTCTATCAATTAATTTTTCATTGGATGCAGGACAGTCCAACCTTTCCAGGCATGTATGACATTGTAGGATTTATTTTTTACTTAGCATATCACCAATTTAAAGCAGCATTTCCTACGTCTATTGGCAAAATGAGAGAAATTCAGGAAATAAATGTGGCTCAAGAAAATTCCAACATGTGAGTGGGTCCAGGACCACAGCCAAGGTTAATTTCTCCTTTGCACTTTGCCTCACTTCTTAGTCCTAACACTGGAAATGCTATATTAAATAGCAAGCAGGACTTTCTGCCCTTATGGCGTAAGAAAAAGTAATCAAGGTCTTCATTCTCTTACAGCAATTAACTTATTACTAAGAACTACAACTTAATATCTCCTTTTAATAAATCATCTATAACCTAGCTGTATTCTGTAGTTGGTAGCTTCTCTACCACTTATGATTTCTCTCTAACATATCAACTCAAATTGAATTCCTCAAAAATACAAAGTGTAGAGAAAGAAGGCTGAGATTTTATTCCAGTATTTTTTCATTTGTGCAACATTATCAAAACTTTACTTCAGACAGTGTCCTATCTTTAAGAGGTATAAGCCACAACAAAGAATTTTATGAGGTTATGCCCCATTAATAAAATGGCTTTAACTCTACTATCTTTGAAGACAAAAGTCTTTCAGGAATGAGAGGAATCTATGACCTAAAATAGGCTGGATCTGTTCACCTGTCCTCTTTCTGAAGTTTTACCCAGAATACTAAATTTTAATGAAGCAAAATGTTAGCATGGTTCTGTTAATTCATTTGATGATCCATAAATATTTAGTAAGTACTACTGCATATAAAATTGCTCAGTCTTTGTTCCTGTCTCCTGGGAGGGAGCCTCTAAGTGCCTGGAATTTCCAAGTGGCAGAGTGCTTGCTGTTCACAGTGAGCCTCCTGGACCTTCTCTAAGTTTATACTAACAAGGTGACTGGTGGTGGGTTGCTAGTTTCAGGATGAAGGCTGGAAATTTTGGGAAGACCAACCATGTGATTAGAGGATTAGGGCTTTCTGACACCCCAATCTCCAGGGAAGGGAGGGAAGCTGGAGACTGAATATTAACAACATGTCAATGATTTAATCATGACTCATGAATGCAATCTCTTTAATAACACTCTACACTTGAAACCTGGTGGACTTCCCCAGTTGGTGATACATGTGACCAAGTCAAGGAGGACACAGAAGCTTCATGCTTAGTACTTTTCAAACCTTACACTATGTTTCTTGTCTTGTACTGTCTGAGGGGTAGTGGGAAACCCCAAATTTACAGCCAGTTGGTCAGATATGCAGGTGGCTTGTGGATCCTGGAACTTGATTAAGGCCAGTGAAGTGAGGGCACTCTTGTAGGGAACCATGTCTGTAACCTATCAAATCTGCAAAGACTCTGGGTAGTTAGAATCAGAAGTGCACTGAAAGCACCCACCCAAAGCGTGCAATCATACGCAACAGACAAGAGTCCTGCCAGCATGGTGCTCAGAATTTTGTGGAGAAGAAACAAGAAAATAAACACCCAAGTACAAACTGTAATAAGAGAAGAAAAGAGCATGAAGAGTATATTCCCTCAGGAAATAATGTAACACATTCCAAAGTAAAGCAATTTGTGGGAAGTCACTTTATACCAATGAAATCTGACTACTTAAATAGTTACTTGTCAAGGGCAAAATGGCAACTTATGAATCTATGGGTGAGTGGGTTCTAAGATGTCAGAGGAGGTGCTGAACTGGACAGAATAAAGTCGTTTCCAGGGGTGCCCTGGTTTGCAAACAGATCAATGCTAAAAGGATAAGGGTGCTTGTAATCACCTAATCCAAACCAACAATGCCTTATAGTAGCTGTTTCCAATTCAGATCTCTTCAGACACAGGACAGTGTTTCTGTGGTAAGTTACCTATGTTAAGTTCTTTTTTTTGCTTAATTTGCTGGTCTATTTCAAATTAGCAAATAGGCTAAGGTACAAAACTATTATATAACAGTGAAGACCAAGGGGAAAGGAACATTACCATGCATGCTGTGCTCCAAATGTCAGCAGGGGTATTATAGCCAGATCCTATTAGAACTTCCAGGGAGCGATACTGCCTTGTTTGAATATCTTCGGTGAAATGTTTGTGCTGAGTAAATGGAAAAGGAAAGTAGTTTAATATTAGTTGTTCTACAAAGTAACAAGCCAGGATTGCTAAAAGAGATTTTAATAAATTCTCTGAAAAATGTCCCAAAGTTTCCATTCAGCTAATTTTTCAAGTATCATCTTGATGCTAATAGCCTTACTCACTGCTACTTCGAATTATTTTTGCAAACAGATGAGCCTAAACTTAATACGGACAGATGGATTATGGAAAAGCTTTATAAGAAATGGGAAATTATTGCCTCAAACAAAATTCATGTTGTTCACTTGTTCAAAATTAACAAACTGCACCTCAACAAATAAATGACATTAACTTAGATTCAATTCAAAGACTGTCTTGCTGCATGCTCAATATGAGGAAATAAGATAAAGGCTACAAGAACCTTCTAACCACTAATACCAATTATAAACAGTCCTTGCCTTCATTCTCCTTGCCCACCTTGCTCCCTGCAAAATAATATTAAATGTGAATCCTGGGGAACAGAGAGAACATACTAAGTATCATGAGGATACAATCAGCAAAACAACTGGAGTTTCATGAATAGATTAAAAAAAGGGAGAGATGTTTATACTGAAAGCAATTTAATGCCAGGCACTGGTAGCTCATGCCTGTAATCCTAGCTACTCAGGAGGCAGAGATCAGGTGGATCACTATTTGAAGCCAGTAATGAGCAAGACCCTATTTCAAAAAATACCCAACACAAAAAAGGGCTGGCAGATTGGCTCATGTGGTAGAGCACCTGACTAACAAATGTGAGGCCCTGAGTCCAAACCCCAGTACCAAAATAAAGTTTAAAAATAAATTTAAAAACAAATAATAAAGAAACAGAAGCGTAATGAGTCACATATAGGAAGCAAAATTTAAGCAATATTAAAATAGTAAAGGGAAGTGTGGAAGCCAGTTCTCTAACCCTGTTGAAATTGAAAAAAGGAACAACATTTGTGGAGAGGGGAAATTGCTTTGTGGAGAATGTTTCATGTAGAATCAGTAAACACTAGGACTCCAAAAGGTATGGGATTAAGTTTGACCAAAGGACAAAAAGTATTCCAGGTGATGTTCTGAAATCATCATCAACACACCATATGAAGATGTCTGCTAAAGACAAATAAGGTAATTGCTAGTTGTGGAATTAGGAGAGGGAAGGGTTAAACTCAAAGATACTCACTGGAAGAATAAACAGAATTTAAAAATTCAGTAGCCAGATGTGGGAGAATGTGCGAAGTACCAAAAAGAACCATGACCCAGAGTCCTAGAGCTAGCTAACTGTTCACAGAAACAGAGACTTGGAGAGGAGGAAAGTGGCTTTGACAGGAAAACAACATGCTCAGATACTAAGTCTGAAGCAACTTAAACTGACAAAACCAGAGAACTACAAAGAAGAGCAATAAAACTTATAAGATGGAGGCTGGGTGGTGGTGGCTCACGCCTATAATCCTAACTACTCAGGAAGCAGAGATCAGGAGGATCATGGTTTGAAGCCAGCCTGGGCAAATAGTTCGAGACCCTATCTTGAAAAAAACCCATCACTAAAAAGTGCTAGAGGAGTGGCTTAAGGTGTAGGCCCTGAGTTCAAGCCCTAATACCACCAAAAAAAAAAAAAGAAAAACTTGTAAGATGGAAAAAAAGGAATTGGCGAATAAATAAAAAGACCACTGCTGGTGAAAGTGTAGGAGCAGTATGATTTATGCTATAGTCCCTTCCCGGCTCAGGACTTGATGATACCAGGTTTTTCTGAAGTAGGGGTGAGGGTGGGATTCAACACAGGAATATTGCTTTAAAACATGTTTAAGAAACAGAGCTTCAGAACAAAGGATATGATACTGGCCAACAGCTTTTTTTCTGGCCCAACAGACCACTTAGAGGTTTATTCTCTGGAGTGGACAAAATAGAGGACACTATTGTCAAGGAGAGAGCACTATTTTGAAAATATAGAAATCAAATGACCTAACTGTATATGCTCAAACACTTGTTGTTCTTGTTTAACTCAATTCTCCAAACTCCAGTAGCCAAATAATTACTCTCTGGATAGATCTGAGGAAGATTTTAAGTATTCTGTGGGAAGCACGACCAACCCAGGAGGAAAGATCCAAAGATCTTGACATCTGAGGATGAAATGAAATGCCCAACAGATCTTGCTGCAAGACCCACTCAGGCAAAGCACTTTCAAATTGCTTTTTAGTACTCCATTCACATGGTCAGACAGTCTTTTAAGTTATCCAAAACAGAAAAGCAATAAACACATATAGGAAGAAATGTTAGGAAAGGAAAAACAACATCCTCAGCGATTTTTAAAAAGGTACCATTTTATGAAACAAGAATAGCACGTTATTTTTAAGAAACAAGGGAACAGAAAGTAAAAATAGGAGAAATGATAAACAAAGGGACTTATATAAAGAAAAGATGGGGATTGTATAGGAGGTCTAACATTTGAATAATGAGATTTCAGAAGTAGACAAGACTTTCCAAAATTAAGAAAAAATCAAAGCCAGAGCATCTGACTTTCAGTATTGAAAATAGATACCAAGTATCTAACATAAAGGATGAAAAGAGACCCAGTGATGCACATCACTGTGAAATGATGCTCCTGTAGACTTCTGCAAGGGGAAAGGGTTTCATACAAAGAAACAGAATGGCATTGATCTTTAGTGCAACAAGACTGGAACTAGAAAACAACGGAGTCATTTTGACAAACACTGGAGAAAATGGTTTCTAGTCTAGAACTCCATACACAAGTCAACAGAGTGAAAATAGAAAAAAGACTGTAAGACATGGAAAGTCCCTCTCTCCCCAACGTCATATACTCAAAAGGGAGTAAGTCAAGAAAGAAGGTAAGAGAGACAGAAGACAGGAACATAGACAGAAAATAATCTCTAAGATGATAGTGAAGGGAAATCCCAAATGGGCAACCCGACCAGAGGGACACAAGACGCACAGTTCCAGCAGAGTTCTTTAGGAAGATAGGTTGAAGTAACAGCCAATGCATCTGTACATATTAAAGTGGGTGTTAAGGTAAGAACTTTCTCAATGAAACCCCAGCAGCACAGCAACTAAGAGATAGCATAGATAAATGGGACCTCATAAAACTAAAAAGCTTCTGTTCATCAAAAGAAATGGTCTCTAAACTGAAGAGAACACCCACAGAGTGGGAGAAAATATTTGCCAATTATACATCAGACAAAGGACTGATAACCAGAATATACAGGGAACTTAAAAAACTAAATTCTCCCAAAACTAATGAACCAATAAAGAAATGGGCATGTGAACTAAACAGAACTTTCTCAAAAGAAGAAATTCAAATGGCCAGAAAACACATGAAAAAATGCTCACCATCTCTAGCAATAAAGGAAATGCAAATTAAAACCACACTAAGATTCCACCTCATCCCTGTTAGAATAGCCATCATCAGCAACACCACCAACAACAGGTGTTGGCGAGGATGCGGGGAAAAAGGAACCCTCTTACACTGTTGGTGGGAATGTAAACTAGTACAACCACTCTGGAAAAAAATTTGGAGGCTACTTAAAAAGCTGGACATCGATCTACCATTTGATCCAGCAATACCACTCTTGGGGATATACCCAAAAGACTGTTACTCCAGAGGCACCTGCACATCCATGTTTATTGCGGCACTATTCACAATAGCCAAGTTATGGAAACAGCCAAGATGCCCCAGCACTGACGAATGGTTAAGAAAATGTGGTATCTATACACAATGGAATTTTATGCAGCCATGAAGAAGAACGAAATGTTATCATTCGCTGGTAAATGGATGGAATTGGAGAACATCATTCTGAGTGAGGTTAGCCTGGCCCAAAAGACCAAAAATCGTATGTTCTCCCTCATATGTGGACATTAGATCAAGGGCAAACACAACAAGGGGATTGGACTATGAGCACATGATAAAAGCGAGAGCACACAAGGGAGGGGTGAGGATAGGTAAGACACCTAAAAAACTAGCTAGCATTTGTTGCCCTTAATGCAGAGAAACTAAAGCAGATACCTTAAAGCAACTGAGGCCAATAGGAAAAGGGGACCAGGAACTAGAGAAAAGGTTAGATCAAAAAGAATTAACCTAGAAGGTAACACCCACGCACAGGAAATCAATGTGAGTCAATGCCCTGTATAGCTATCCTTATCTCAACCAGCAAAACCCCTTGTTCCTTCCTATTATTGCTTATACTCTCTCTACAACAAAATTAGAGATAAGGGCAAAATAGTTTCTGCTGGGTATTGAGGGGGGGGAGCGGGAGGGGGTGGAGTGGGTGGTAAGGGAGGGGGTGGGGGCAGGGGGGAGAAATGAACCAAGCCTTGTATGCACATTTGAATAATAAAAGAAAAATGAAAAGAAAGAAAAAAAATAAATAAATAAAGTGGGTGTTATTATCACTGGATAAAAGTATGGGTTGAATTAAGTGAAAAACATTACAAAGAAAATTAAGCAAAACCAATGATGTATGTGAAAGGAAAAGGAATCACAATACATGTTTAGTACATCTGAGGACAGCATTAAGAGTCCCAATAATAAAAACATGGAATAATCATCTAGCCAAAAATTGCTGGGTGCTGGTGGTTAACACCTGTAAATCCTAGCTACTTGGAAAGCTGCGATCTGGAGAATTGTGGTTTGAGGACAGCCCAAGCAAACAGTTTGAGACTCCATCTACAAATAACCAGAGCAAATGGACTAGAGGTGTGGCTCAAGTGGTAGAGTGTCTGCTTTGCATATATAAATATAAATATATAAATATATTTAGAAGATTGGTACAGTGGCAGTAAACTGGCCCTAAAAAACCCAGGAGTAATATAATCATGCCATTTATTACTGATGTGAAGATAAATAATGTCAAGAGTGAGCGAGGGAGCAGCACATTTTTGAATCAAAATCTACATTAACTGTCTTTGAACTATGTATATGCATAACCAATAAGCAAAAGTATAATCTTAAAAAGGCAAGCTCTTTGAAAATCATGTAAAATTCCATTACTGCATGCCAAACACTGACGTGCTGAAGGGATCACTGAACAATGAGATCTGACCAGGATCCAGCAAGGTAGGACATTCATGTCACGTTCGCCATTGTGTTCTAGTGTACAGGCTAGAGTACAGGTCAGTATGTTTGCTGAATGAGTGAATGGATGAAAGACACGTTACAAAAATGCAGATATGCATGTAATTGTTGACTGTAGTGGGCAAGGACAACAGAAGGGAAAGTGAGAAGGCAACTGCAGTCACTCCTGCAGGTGAAACTCTTATGTTGGCCAGGACCTGAGGATAGTGTGTGAAGTGATTCTAATTACTTAGAAAATCGTTCCACATTCCTATTAGTGCTCAACTATAACTTCATTTCTTCTAAAAAGTTATCACAATATTCTAGAAACAGGATTGGAAATGAGATCCTACTGGGGTCTGGACCATTTCCTGTTTACTATTACACTTTGAGTAATGTCATTTGTATGCAAAGCACTCTATTATAGATTTTTTAAAAATGACCATTAAAAAATAACCAAAGGTCAGGTGTGGTAAGGACACCTACAATCTCAGCACTCAGGAGGCCAGGGCAGGGTGATCTCAATTTCAAGGTTAGCATAGTTACACAGGGAAAGCCTGTCTCAAAAAACCAAAAACCCAAAATCCAAAAAAACTTTCCTAACTAGACACATGGTAAAAAAAGTTATTAATAAGAACTGATGTATTCTTTCAGGAAAATAATATTAAACATAAAAATACGTAATTACTTGTAATTACGTGTAATATATATGCGTATATTAATATATTAAAATAATATAATTACATGTAATACACACACACACACACTTTTGGCAGCACTGGGGTTTGAACTCAGGGCCTCATGCTTGTTAGGCAGGCGCTCTACCACTTGAGTCACCCCATCAGCCCTTCTTTGTGATGGGTTTTTTGGAGATAGGGTCTCTCAAATTATTTTTCTGTGGCTAGCTTTGAATCATGAGATTCCTAATCTCTGCCTCCTGAGTAGCTAGGAGGTGTAATATGGCACCATACATCAAGAATCTTTTTTTAAAAAAAGCAAAAAAGAAAAAAACACCCAACTTTTGACTTAGCAACTAGTCCTAGTTCTTAGGACATGTCCTAAAAACAACTATGCAAAGATTTCTGCACAAAGAGCTGTCAAGAGTCATGAATGTTCTAGTTAACAAAATTGTAAAGGCTATGGTGCAGTTAGAGACAAAGGGTAAACTACCATTGAAATATATTCTGAAGAAAGAATTAGCTATTCCATATATTTTGACCACAGGTCTTATATTTCTGTTTCCGTAGCATAGTGATATTCAGTAGGAGGACCCTGAACGTATCAATAATAAGTATCACTGAGATTTTATATATTTATATATAGAGAGAGATGTTGAAAATGTTAACAATTGTAGTATACAAGGGAGTATTATGTAGTCAACTGAATTTTATTATGTTCTTATTTGTAATTAATAATTGGCATTACTAGGGTTTGAACTCAGGGCTTCATGCTTGCTTGGCAGGAACTACCACTTGAGCCATATTCTCAGCCCTACAACAATTCTTGGTGACAAAAAATTGTTCCAAATGTACTAAGTGAATTGAAAGGAGGCTACAGTTTTTACGTCAGAGCCAGTTCTGAAAATGGAGGTGTGGTGGGGGGAGGACATGAATGTAGAGACTGAGAGTACAAGAGAATGAGGAGAGGCGTAAGACAAGGTGGCATTACTGAATATGGGTGACAGATAACTGCAGTGGAGTTGGGGATGAATTCTTTTCATTATACCATTTTCCAACTTTCATAAAAATATCCAAACTTCTTTGTAACAAATGGTTAAAAGAAAAAAAAAAAAAAGGAATAATATTCACCTAAAACATTAACTGGGACCATGCATGGTGGCTCAATCCTGTAGCTCTAGCTACTTTGGAGGCAGAGATCAGGAAGGTAGTGGTTCAAGGCCAGCCCAGGCCAAAAGCTTTTTTTTTAAATTGTACTAGGATTTGTACTCAGGGACTCATACTTACTAGGCAGGTGCTCTACCACTTGAGTGAGGCCTTTTTGGTGTGTATTTTCAAGAAAGGGTCTCGTAAACTATTATCTGCCTAGGCTGGCTTTCCTAATCTCTGCCTTCCAAGTAGCTAGGATTACAGGAGTGAGCCACCAGCATCCAAACCGGGCAAAAAGTTTGCAAGACCCCATCTCAACGAGTAAATGCTGGTATGGTGGTATACACTTATTATGCCAACTACGTGGGAAGTGTAAATAGGAGAAACAAGGTCCAGGCTGGCCTGGGCATAAAGGGAGATCCTATCTGAAAAATAACCAAAGCAAAAAGGTCTGGGGTCTGGCTCAAGTGGTATAGCAACTGCCCAGCAAGCGTGAGGTCCTGTGTTCAAGCCCCTTTATGGGGGGTGGAGGGGAGAAGTGGCAACAAGAACCCAGAATAGCTGATGTTTTATTTTAGCATGTCTAAATCCAAATTTCTTCATGCATTTCCAGTCAATGCAGAATATAGCACTGGAACAAATTTAACTTACCACCCAACAGGCATTTCCAAGGTCAGCAATCTTCACTTTGAGTTTTTCTGCATTTTTTGGCTCAAGGGGATTAATAAGAAAAGTTCCAGCAGTGGATTTTCCTATAGACAATAGGCACCATCAATAAAACTGTTTAACTAAATAACAAGAGGTAATGAAAGAGTTACAGAGGAAGGCCCCCAATTGGCAACCTACAATAAATTTTCTAAGATAAAAAGAGCACAACAGTACCTTCAGTTTCTACAGTTAAAAATCTTGTGTGTACACAGCAACAAGTGAAATGCTACACATAGTGAATAAAATTTAACATTAACTATAGATTTGCAAATTGAAGTTAACTTGGACACCTGCTGGTTGAGGATGTAGCTCAGTGGCAGAACATTGGTCAAGCATGTGGGAAGCCTTGGGTTTGATAGCCAACACTGCAAACCAAACCAAACCAAATCAAACCACGACCACCACCACCTCAATCCCTGGACAAAAGACACGTGCTAATTTGTAGTTACAAAAGCAATCGTACTCTTACTATGCATTTTATGAATGTGTTGTGAGGGAAGCAGTGCTGGTGAAGTGGATCTGCACAGCAGGTACCTTTGTTGTCCAGTGGTCCGTTGTGTTCCTGCTCTTGCTCATCTTCACAAGGTGTCTCTGACTGAATGCTTCCTTGAAGTGTGCCGATGTCCTGTTCACTGAATGACTGGTCTACAGATGAGGAAGACTGGCATACCATGGTATCTGACACCTCAGAAGTTAGAGGTGTACAAGAGTCTGTTTCTTGAGATGCGCTGCTGTCTCCATTTTGGGAGCTTAGGAAACTAGGTTCCTGCTTCAAATTTTGGACATCACAGTCATTAGCATTATGTAGATCCTCTTTAAGCCTCAATGTTTCTTTATTACTGTCATCAGTGTAATTAATGAGTTCAATTACTCCATTGCAATTAATTTCTGCCGCACCACCCTCTACACCACGTTCCTCAAGTGTTTGGTCCTGGCCAATGGAACTTGACTCTTCTAAGGAACAAACAAACAAAAAAGGATGTATGTGTATGTGTGTGAGTGAAAGAACAGAAACATTTCTCACAAGATTAAAACATTTTCTAGAACTTACACTGAGTGACATAAAAATGTGACTGAACATCTAAAACCTATTTATAGAAGGACAAAGATCTTTTTATCCTTACACAGTGGCTAAATAAAGTCTACATCCTACTTCCTGAGAAAAGTTAGAAATTACACTTTAATATTACCTGCCTAACATTTATGACAAGATCTGAATTCTTATAAGGACACCCCCAGATGTGTTGTATGTACGAAACCACTGTATTTTAACAATGATAAATTAATGTTAAATGTGTCATAAAGTAATTTTTGTGATGCTCTATTTATACCAAGTTTTTCTTGGGTCATTTTATTAGGTGGGTTTTCTTTCAAGGGTCTTTCAACAGGACTCTCTGATTCTTCTTGCTTGTTAGGTCTTTTTTGCCCAGGACCCGACTCTTTCTCCATTTCCTCAATTTCCTGCATTCGCTTCTCTAGTAATTCTGCCTGGCGCTTCTGCTTCTTCTTCAATTTCTTCTTCTTATTCTTTGACATTTTGTCAGCCTGGGCGGAGATTACAAACAGATAAAGCCTTCAGGTGGCTAATCCATTACCCCTAGTTGGAGATAACTATTAATTTTAATTACTTCCTAATTAAATTTCACTCTTCACCTAAGTTTTTCATTAACTTAAAAGCTGCAGATATTCTTATGAAATGAAATAATAAAATTAACAACAAATTTTGGCCTTCTGAGCAGTCTGTGGGGCTGGTTTACTCTTAAGACACTCAAATTTATAGACATCTCACCAGTGCAAACTTGCTGAAGATGCGTGGGAATTTATTGAAGACATATAGAAGCGCAGAAATATTTTTTTCCCTTTGGTTTCCAAACACTAAACAAACTGACCATCTCTCTCAGAATAACCCATGCCCACAGCCCATAGACTAGAATTAAATATAGAAACACCTTATACTTACTGGTTTAGGTTGGGGAGCAGTACTGACTGAAAAGAAAAGAAAACCACGTAAGAATCTGGAAGTCAGCAGGCAACATAAACTAAGGCTTAGGAAAGACTCCCTACCGGAATGGAAAGTTCTTATGCAGCCTACACCATTTTAAGGGACACTGGTAGAAGCTACATTATTTTATTTTTAGAGAAAATAACACATACAAAAGTTGCCGAACTTTAGCTAAATGAGATCCTGTCCCAGGCAGCATCAATACTTGCACAGAGCCAAGTTCCCATTTCTTGCCTCCACTACTAGTGCTGCTAAAAGCACCATTTCCATTCCTATGTCCTCTTTAAACTAGAAAGTGAAAGCAACACCTCCTCATCCCCACCCAGGATTCCCACCTCCCAATTCCTCCCTGGCACCTGTCAGTTTTAGAAGGTAAGTCAAGAGCTATAGTAATTTGCTATGTAATATGCTGTGCATAACAATTTAGCTTAGGTGCTGCTTAGTCTTTCTTTTAAAAGTACTTAAAACTGTGGCTTAAAAAATGTATATATAAAATCTATCCTCAATTGCCCCTAAACATATAGCTCATTAGTGTTAAGTATAACCAAATCATTGCATAACAGATCTCTAGAACTTTTTCACTTTGCAAAACTGAAATTCTAACTATAGAACTTCCCACTTTTTCCTCTTCAGTCTTCCTTGAGTATCAAGAAAATTTCTTGAATATGATTAAACCACTAAAATTAAAATCCATACCTCCAGTGGAAAAAATCATCATGATGGTAGTTGTAACTTATTAACTCATAATACTATGTAGCACACCAGTAAATGTGTCAATGTCAACTTTTTTTTGTGGTACCAAGACTTGAACTCAGGGCCTCACACTTGCTAGGAAGGGACTCTACCATTTGAGTCACTCCGTCAGCCCTTTTTTTGTGTTGGGTATTTTTTAAATAGGGTCTTTCAAACTACTTGCCCAGGCTGGCTTCGAACTTCAATCCTCCAGATCTCTGCCTCCACAGTAGCTAGGATAAGAGGCATGAGCAGCGGTGCCTTGCCTCAATGTGAACTTTAATCCCAGTAACTCCTACACTAGGGAAAATGAAGACGAACAACTCAGAAAAGGTCTCCCAGCGAGGATTCAAACCAGCTCTGACTATTTTGAACAGTACTTACCCCCAAGCTTTTTTTTTTTCTTTTTGGTGGTACTGGGGTGTGAACTCAGTAACATCAGTGTTACCCATGTTATCTTGTCCCTCTGCACTAGTTCATATAGGACCATGTGTCATCAGGCAGAGGTAAACACATTAAGAAATGGCCATCAAAGACCAGGCAGGGTGGTGCATGCCTGAAATTCCAGCAAACAAAAGAGGATCTCAAGTTTGAAGTCAGCTTAGGCTACACAGTGAGACCCTGTCTCAAAAGGGACATCAATGGCTGTGGATGTAGCTCAGTGGCAGAGAACTTGCATAACAAGCACAAGGCCCTCATTTCAAACCCATTAGTCCTTCCCCCTCAAAAAAGCCCATCAAATAAAAGGAAAAACATCAAGCCATAATATAAATCAGCTACTTTTATCTTTAACTGAAAGACACAACAATCTTTAGTCTCCTTCTCATACGGCAGCAATAATCAGAAAAAAGTCTCATTAAGGCTGACACTATTATTTAAATATTTTATTGTTAAATGAAACTCCCTGAGAAAAGAACATACTTGCAGACCCGGAAGGTGGAGGAGCTCCAGATCGCTGCCACTCTGTTGCTTCTGCAGCCAGCCTCCGAATGTACTGTTCATTCACTGATAACAAGATGTTTTCTGGTTTAATATCAGTGTGGATTATACGGCACTTGGTATGTAAATAATCCAGACCCTGTAACACCTGAATGGGAAGAGAGGAGTAGACTGGTAAGTATAAGTCTTTCTAGAAAAGGAAAATATCACAACACAACACTGCAATAAAAAATAGTGCTTTCTAGAGAATAATGAAAGCACTTATTTCTTTAAAGCACAAAGAAACTTCCCCAGAAAGACTGATTGTAAGCTTCCAAGTTTTACAAAGGTAATTCTAGTTGGAGACTTTAACTGGTACATTATAAAGAATGAGAATAAATGCTCACCATACCCTTTTAAGTGCTGAAATGTAGGTGACAGGAGGTTTAGACCTTTTTTTTTTTGGTGGTACTGGGTCTCACACTTGCTAAGCAAGCCCTCTACTTGAGCCACATCGCCAGCCTGGTTTTTTAGTTAGTTTTTCAGATAGGGTGTAGCACTTTTGCTTGGTTGGCCTTGGAACAGTGATCTTTCTACCACTGCTTCCCAAATAGCTGGGATTATAAGTATGTATAACCACACCCAGTCTGTTGTTGAGACAGGGTCTTGCTAACTTTTGCCCAATCATTCTCTTACCTCTGCCTCCCAAGTAGCAGGGATGACAGGAGTGCACTATTATGCCAAGCCCTAGGTATCTTTTAATACAAATTTCCTCACTGAAGAAATGAGGTCTCTTCCCAGTTTAGAGTTCTTACTGAGACATATTATCCAAACAAATTATTTGTCCCTTGAAGCATTAATATTTTCTTGATGCTAACATTCGATACCTTATATCTAAAGCTAATTAGAAAATTAGAAAATGCCCATGAATACGATTAGAGTGGTGCTAATATAACAATTCTGTATTAATGAATATTTAATATTTACAACTAGAATTTCTGAATAAAGACTCAGGCACCTTACATAGCTCCTCCCCTTCTCCCCGACAATTATTATGGAAGATGAACCTGGTTGTGCTATAACATTTAAAAACAGAATAAACACAATAAACTCTAGGGACTGAATAAAATATTTAATTTTAGCAATTAAAACCCCCTGGCTATTTACAATCCTATTGTAAACAGAAAACTCCTGATACTTTCATATTTTCATAGAGTCCCTACATAGCAAAGATGAAGATACTCACTTGCTGAATAATTTTTTTGACACAAGGCAGTGGAAGCCCCTGATAGTTGGATTTGATGATCCACTTGAGTAGGTGATGTCCCAGAACTTCAAACACCATGCAGATATCTGTGACTTTGTTAAGGAGGAAAGAGGAGGCACAACAAAAACAGGGAAGAAGAGGTGTTCATTCCCACCCAATGAAAATGTTACGTATTTTTTTCAATATACAAAGTTATAGAGCTTGGCAGCAAAAATATGTAGTTGTCAATATTCTGAAATTCCAAAGTCAAATACTCACATCCATTGTGTGGGGGGGCTAGTTCATGTCTAAAATCATGCATGTTAATAATACTTGGTGGTAAAAAGAGAAGTGAAACCTATACATGCAAAGAGTGCACTGGGCGCAAGCTGCTGACCAGATTCAGGCAAAGCAGCTTCTTCTTAAATGTCCAGGCTAACAAGCCCCACTCTCACAGTCTCAAAGAAAGGAAAATCAAATTCCTCTGTACCATAAAAGACAATGTACGAAACTTATCTTAAAAATGCAAATGTTAACAGTTTTTTTTTCTTCTTCTTTTTGTAGTGCTGGAGATCAAAACCAGGGTCTTGCTAGGTAAGCACTGTCACTGAGCTGTATCTCCAGCCTCAATTTTTTTTTTTTAACATCAAAAAAAGTTTTAATAAGCATATACAGAATGGCAGACAGAAATTGGAGAAGGGAAGTATTTACTATGCATAAATTTAAAAACATCGAATTCATAATTTTAAATGGCTATTTAAATGTTACTTCAAATACATTTTAAATCTCAATAGATTTGTGTTGAACTGAGTTGCAGATTCTGAATCCTACTTGAAAACACATGATAAAACATCATTCCAAATGAAAATAATAGTGCTTTGCTGGGGGTGGGAATGGGTGAGGAGATTAAGTAACTATCAACAAAAACTTCTTTTCCCGATGCAATTTGTTAAGAGTTCAAGAGTTATAAAATGTACTAAATCTTAACCAAATTAAATTCTCGATAGTACTGTAATTTTTAAAATAGTGCAACGAATGGCTTATCAAGTTGTAGTGGCTGTATTATGAAGAACAAAGTGTGAAATACCTGCAGAGACACAAAATACAATTAAATATAAGCTGAGCAATACGTACTATAATAGTGGAATGTCTTTCATCATGCATACATTAAAAAGACTAAGTAAAACTTCCTAACATTTATACATGTGCCATATTTGCCAGCATGCCTGAGAATTTACTCACAGCATTCCTATAATAATAGTTTGCAAGTACTTTGCAAGCCTGCAAACAAGATGAATCTTTTTTTAAAAAGTGAAAATGGCACCTCTAATATCATATATAACTTAAAAAAGTATAGAATCACTATTCTTTTAAAACATTTCTATAGGCCATCTCTGACAAAGAGCTGGGATGCTTAGGATTTAGAAAATGGATTATAGCTGAGTATGGTGGTACACATCTGTAATCCCAGCACTCAGAAGACTTGTCCAGACTCCATCTTTTTAAAAAATAGGAAACTGACTTGCTTTATGTTCTGCAGCTTACAAAACTAATCTTCATTTTAGTGCCACCATGTGTTTTATGTCTAAACATCCTGATCATACCACATTGTAGGAATATGCTTTAAGCCTATTTGTATACCTTTTATATATGTATATATAAAATCGACCTAATGCCTAAAGAGCATGGGCTCCTTGGAGCAATGACCAAATCCAAGGCTACTCAAACACAGGGCGAGCTTGGAACATCTTCCTAACAAGAAGAAACAGAAACTGTCTTGAAGAGGATGCCATCAGCAAAGTGGAGAACATTTTGAAGAATGAAATTATAAGTTAATATATTGATTTTAACAACAATGAATTCATACCGATACTAACAAGTATGTATATGTGAGAAATAGCAAACTTCATTAAAGAAAGCCAAATAATGAATATACAAGATATGACAAAAACAGAAAAATCTCCCTTCTACAATCACTAAAAACCACTGTGAGAAAGACTTTTGGGAAAAAGGATTGCTACAATGTCAAAATATCAATTCATATTGCTTATTAGTTATAAAAGTAACAAGGAACTTTTATAGGGAAATCAGGAGGGCACTGTCTTAACCAAGTGGTAAGACATCCCCAAGGACACACGCAAATTCACATCATCTGCCCTCCGACACAATACATTTAAGAAAAAAACATCCATGTGGCGTACTTGACAAAACTGGTTTACAGGAGGATATGATCAAACAAATTCAAATTAAGGAACAAAACCAGCCTAGATTCTTCAACCAACCAAAAAAAAAAAAAAAAAAACCAAAACAAATCAATGTAATGCCAAGAATGGTTCTAAGTTAAAAAAAGGTCAATGGGAAATGACAAATCAAAATTCTAAGAAGATGGCATCTCGAACTCACTGGAATGACTGATTTTCATCAATGTGAATGAGAATATACAATTACTGGAACTCTGATACCATGCTAGTGGAAGTGTAAAATAGAACAACCACTTTGGAAAGTTGGTGGGCAATTTCTCAGAGTTAAATATACACCATGAACTTGTAGTAGGACTGCATCTGCCCTCTTGTTTGGGGAAAAAAAGCAATAGACTAAACACACTGAACAACAGAAGACCCTGGACATCAGGCGACAAAGGCAGTGATCCCTGAAAGAAGGAAAAAAATGAACTGAACCCTAAGACTGTCCACCCCACCTTACTGCCTTGAGTCTTTCTAGACAGACGCTGTGAGTTGAATAGATGGAGCCTCAAGTTTGGTGAGAACAGCAGCTACAGTTCATAGAACACGGCCCCCGATAGAAAAAGCTATAGAAACATAACTGGAAATTTGCAGATTGTTCTCTTCAAGAGTCTTACAGGCTACTATTAAGGACATGTGTGTGAGGAAACTATGAGGAGGGGGGAAAAAATCATCTGAAAAGATTAGCGGGAACAGCACCCAGCATTTGCACAGAGCTTGGAAAAAAAGACTAGAAAAATTCAGTCACAGGAATTTTAGATGGCAAAATCAGGACGGTCCTGACTCAATCGAGGGGAATGGGTATTCCTAGACCAACCACTGCTTTGGACCCATCTAACAAATTTTAAAGCAAAACCTGAAAGGATGAAACTATTAGCAAGTAACATAATTGCACCCCAGAATGGAGTTCTAGAAGATTTACAGGAAGGCAAGATATCCAGTAACCAATAATGTACAACATACTAGGCAGCAAAGGCACAGGAAAATGTATACAAACTTAGAATAATCTATCACAAGAAAATTGTCTCAGAATCAACACAGATGTTAGAATTAGCAGACAAGTACATTAGATGGTTATTATAGCTGCACTCCCTCTGTTCCAAAAGTTAAGTAGAGGCATGGAAGACAGGTAATAGCAATGATCAATTCGGGGCAGGGGGAGGAAAGGGAGGAAGATGAAAGTATCTGCTTTTCACAATAAATGAACACATCATAAAAGTAACAGCAATGATCAACCCAGTGACAAAGTTTAACCACAGTGTTTTGATTTTAGACAGTATCTCATACACTACTATGACAGTCCCAGAAGACAGATTAAGAGGCAGAAAAGTATTTGAAGAAATAATAGCTCAAACATAAGAGAAGCTCAGTGAACTCCAAGTTAAGATTAATTCAGGAAGATCCACACTGAAACACTGTAATCAAACAAGAGAAAAAACAAACAATCTTAAAGTCAGTAAGAGATCTGTCACAGATAGGGGGTCCTTATGCAGTGGTTCACAACTCTAATCCCAGCTACTCAGGAGGTGGAGACTGAGAGGACTGCATTTTGAGGTCAGCCTGAGCAAAAAGTCAGAGGGACCCCCATCTCAACCACTAAGCCAGGCGCGGTGGGGTGCACCTGTCATCCCAGCTACACTAGAGGTTGCAGGAAGGAAGCTTATGGTCCACAACTGCATAGCTGGGGTGACAGGTACATACCACTGTACCTAGTTATTGGTTGAGGTGGGGGGTCTCACAAACATTTTGCCAGAGTTGGCCTCGATTCACAGTCCTCCAGATCTCAGACTTCTGAGTAGCTAGGATTATAGATGTGGGCCACTGCACCCTACTTAAAAGCATACCACACGAAAAGACCTAATTCAGATCTGTATTCAGAAGTATACAATAAGAGGAGGCAATTTTATTAGTTTACCTTGAGGAAAGACACCAAGGCTATCTGTACAAATCCAGTTCCTTTCTTTCAGATAGTTATTTCATGATTTACTATTGAAATAAACTGTTATTATTATAGTCATAGCCATTTCATTATTCATGAAGAAAAAGGATACGTGTTCCATTAACTCCTGATATTTTAAAGTCATCTAATAGCTGGACAACCATTTCTCTGTTTGGATCATTAGGGTCTGAATTGCGAACCTGTTTTGGAGAAGACACACAGCATTTAGCAAAGGGAAAGAACAGAAATGAGCCAAGTGGCGGGGAAGGAATACCTAAGAAAATGAACTCCAAGAAAGAGCTCCTGGAAGTCTATATTTTACCTTTTTAATTCAACCATTTGGCTACTCAAAGTGTGGCATCCAAATTAACTGCTAGTTACCAAGTTATGAGGAATGCAGGATGCAAATCAAGTACAGCAGTAACCACATTGTTTATTTTTTTTCATGGAAAAACTTTCTTAATGAAGGAAGCAGTATTTTGGCCACATGCTCCTTGTCTTAAAGTCACAAACTGGCTCTCTGAAAAAACAGTGCCTTAGAGATCTCCCGGTCCAAACAATTATGAAGAAGGCCCAGAAAGGGCCTGGAGGCCAGGCACCAAGACAAGAAGATGGAAGGTGCACCAGGACAAAGAGAGACCTATCTACATCCAGGTTTTCTAAGCTTGAGTTTAAGCTTCTTCTACCACATTGACATCTTCCTAATTTATAACAAAACTGAAAATAAATGTTTTGATAAAATTCACCAAAGTTTCCAGGTACAAATGGAATTAATGAGTACAGCACTTATTTTTGCTACCGGAATTCTGCAGTCAATACAGTAAAAATTTAGCCAAAAGAGTCTACTATTTGTAGGCCTCACTGCAATACAGTGTCATTTTCTCATAATGCTCTGAAGGTCACACACAATACTCACTGATTTCAGCAACCGGATTTCATCGAGTGCAGTTTCAGTATAGTGCTCAGCACTTTTAACTACTTTCATGGCCACAAACTTTTTTCCCCTAAGAAACAAACACAGGCAATTAAGACTGAGTATCTACTTTTACTTTAGGAAGCTATGATTTAGTTACAACTGGGAGACAGTGAGCAAGTACAGATACTGATTTCATGTTTGCTGTAGCCAAAGATAAGCGACTCCTATAGGATGGCTTATACCTATTAATGGTGTCACTGGGCAGATTTCATTTACAGGAACAGAAAATGTTCTCAGATAACCTCAGCCATAATTTTTATTAGACAAAAATTTTAGACTACACAACTGAGCAAATATTTTACAAGAATAAATAATTTCACACTGCTTGGTCTAACATTATCTGAAAATTGAACTCTACTCCAGTGAGAAGGCAGGTATTAATTTACACTCATTAAATATTTATAAAGCCCAGAATTTAGGAATTCCAAGTGCTTTATTGGTAGGAATTTCATCAATCTTTTGTCTCTAATGTGGAGAGGCACATATATAAAACTGACTCAGCATGGCAGGAAAGTGATTTGTTCAAGACCATAAAGACTACTACCAACAGCAAAGTTCTGACCAAGAAATCAGTACAGAGATAGACTGAAGCCCAGATCATTTCTGGAATATCGATAAAAATATGGAGGACAATTTAATTCTTTTGCAGGGCCACCAAAACTTACTGAATATCCCATGATAACCACACTGTTGAAAAGTGTCCCCAGCCCAACTTTCGGATCACATGATATCTCCCATTGAATAGATCTCCAATTTTCACAAGATGATAACCTCCTGGAAGAAGCAATTGGAGGAACATAATCAGAGGAACCAGAATGAGAAATGACACTTGAACAGTAGGAAAAAGTCACCTCACATCTTATTTTTCAACATCTACATACCTTTTATCAAATGAAAATAGTTTCTTCTATAAAGTCAAATCAATAGAGGAAAATCTAAACAATCAAATCAGGCACACAGTACTACTGAGCTCATGGTACAAAAAATAATCTTAGTAAGATTTTAAATTGAGCAAGTGATACTCCTCCATAGAACCAACCTCATCCCATATCAAAAATAGGAGCATGTATCACAATATTCTTGCCCCTCAAAAATTCAATACATTTATTTAAACATACAGATCTACTTATAGTAGAAGTCTCAGAATGTTCTTTTTTAGGAGTGGGAATAATGAATTTTATTATCTAGCTAAAAAGTAGAAAATGGGAGGACAGGCTTCTCTAAATATATGTAAACAAAAAAAAGAGGAGGTATAAAAAAGCTGACAAATTTCAAGGTATTTTAAAATTTATCTTTGCTCTTGAAGAATAAGAGCCAAATTCTTGTCCTAGATAGTTCAATAGTTTCCATTATGAACCTGGCCTCATCAAGAAAAAAAAAAAAAGATAGCTAGCAACCTGGTGACACAGTTTAAGTATCTGTGATTCCAGTTTAACTTATCTTAGCATCCACCACTGTGAGGAAAAAAAAAATATTAATAAGGTATTTTTTTAAAGAAAATCTATATACCAACAGGACATGACAGCAACATCTAAAAGCCAAGCATTCAGGAGGCTGAGTCAGGAAGATCATGAGTTTGAGTCCAGCCTGGGCTACAGAGCAAGATCCTGTCTCAAACAAAAGTAAACAAAACAAATCCCAAACAATCAAAAACCAACCAAACAAAAAACCAAAACCACACACTAAAATGTTACATTTGGTTACTTCTGGAGATAATAGCACTACAGAGAGCTTGTATTTTCTTTTGTGTTTAATGTCTTTCTGAAATTTATTAAGTTAAATAAGAGAAAAAAGGTAAAAACAGTGTTAGGGTATTGTTCAGTTGCAGGGCACTTGCTTAGTAGGCTCAAGGCCCTGAGTTCAATCCCCAGCTCCACCAAAAAATAAAAATTAAAAAGAAAAAACAAACACATTTAATGTAAAATTGGACTAAGATAAAGTCAAATTAAGAGCAAATACTATCTCTTATTTCTACAGGAAAGAACAAAACAAGCAGAAAGCCTCAAAAGTGTACTTATGTGACTAGCTCAAATGTCCAAATGAAAAATTGCAACTCCTCAGTTTCTCCTTAACAACTTACCTTTACAGTAATCATTCGGGTCTTCCTGCTCATCATCATCGGACCCCAGAATCTCCTCTTCCTGCTCTGGGAGATCACTCTCAGAGTGGGGCGCAGAGCCTCGGTGCTGAGTTTCAGATCTAAGAAATGACACAAACATGCTCAACTCCAGATGGATAAAGAAAAGAGGACTTCAAGAACAATATTACTTTGCTTCCATGCAGTCTCTTAAATCTCGATGTGCTTCCCTCACAAGTATTATCACTCATTTTGGCACCTTCTAATTCAGTTGCACATTTAACTGGTTTCTAATTTTCACTACTAAAAATATAGCCATTGAGTATTTTTAGGTAATTTTAAAGTTCTTTTCTTAAAATGAGACTACTAGATAGGGTTAAAAACATTCTCCCATTTGTAAAATATTTGCCTTGAGATCCCCCTAATCTGAACAACTACTAGTATTTCGGGATATTTTCCTCCAGTCAGTACAAACAGTATGACTGTTTTCTAAAAGGGTTGTGCTGAGCTACATCCCTACCAGCCACCACTAGATTCACAAAGTTTAGCTTATAGGTTAAAAATGAGACTTTTGCTGGGGTTGTGGTTCAAGTGGTAGAGAGCCTGCCTAGCAAACAGGAGGCCCAGAGTTCAAATCCCAGTACCTTAAAAAAAAAAAAAAAGAAAAGAAAAACTAATTTTATCATGTATTCATGTTGAACTTTAAGCAAAACAGCAAGCCATCGAGTATTCCTGGTTTTTTTATGTTGTTGCTGTTCCCCCTCGCTTCTTTGAAATGAGATCTCACTATGTTGCCTAGGTTGACTTGGAACTCCTGGGCTCAATCGTCCTGCCTCAGCCTCCTGGGTAGCACAAGCCACTGCACCTGGCTTAGCATCACTTTCCATAGTTTTAGCAGAAAAAATAAATTCCGCTAAAAATATTTATTTAGCTTTTCATCAACCTGTTCATCAGACCATTTTTTCAAAAGGTGTTAACAGAAAAAAACACACACACACACAAAAAAAAGTTTTAGAAAACAGAGTTCCTTAAACAAAGGGAGAAGAAAAAAGTCATCTATGGAGATAACAACTGCATGAGAAGAATTAAGAGACAGAGACAATCAAACCACAAGTTCTGAAACTCAGAATGAGAGATGCAGGAGGAAAAAACTTGAAAGAATTATAAGCAACTCCTAGACACTGAATGGGATCTCCATTTAAATCAAAAGGGCCTTCCTATTGCTAAACAGGAATGGCTTTACTTATAGACAGACACCTTATTAAGGAAATTTCAGAATTTTAGTTTTAAAAAGATCCTAAAGGATTCTAGGAAAAAAAAAACAGTTAAAATGGCAGTATTGAAACTGGTACCAAATATCTCATACTAAAAGATAATGAGGTAATGATTTCTAAATTCTAAGGAAAAATTAAAAGAATTTAAAAACCCAGACTAACTCTTGAGGGCAGTGAGAAATGAAGGGTGTAGGTGGGAGGGAGAAGGGAGTGACATTGGGGGTGGTTATTAGGAGGGAAACCCTCAAGAAACAACTTGTACACCAGGTACCTTTATCTTCTCATGTCTGCAGCATAGATGCCACCTGGTCCTAAGGATGGCAAGAGAAGTGAGCTAGAAAGAGTCTGGGTTCGTGATACGTCACAAAGCAGAAGCAACTAGGGATACATCCCCAGAGTTTTAATCGGGAAGAAAATAAACTTCCATTTTGCTTTAGGTCATTTATTTTAAGGTTTTGTTGCTCATTCAAAAAATTAAGTTGCCTCAGTTTCTCAATCCTTCATTTTCTCTTCCCCAAAGGGATCATAAGCCAGTTCTTCTATACCATCCTTTATAGGAATATAAGTGTGCATCTATTCCAGTACTGGGGTTTGGTGTCAAGGCCTCACACTTGCTAGGCAGGCACTCTTAACACTTAAGCTACTCTGCTAGCCTCCTATAGTCCTATTTTTAAACAACAGCTAGAAAAAATACAATGTTCAAGCTGGGCACCGGTGGCTCACGCCTGTAATCTAGCTACTCAGGAGGCAGAGATCAGGAGGACTGAGGTTCGAGGCCAGTCCGGGCAAATAGTTCACAAGACCCTATCTTGAAAAACTCTTCACAAAAATAGGGCTGGTGGAGTGGCTCAACATGAAAGCTCTGAGTTCAAGCCCAGTACTACCAAAAAAAAATTTCAAGGCATTTTTTTTCATTTAGTAAAATTTAAGAAATTATTGCCTAAATAGTGACAGAGGTGCCTCATTTGTAAGAGGTGGGGGGAGGGATGCATCCTCATTTTAACAAATAGCTGCTCTCTGTAAATATCTCCCTTTTTACATCACAGATTAATCTATGAATAACCCATGTGCATATATTTCAGGGTAACAAATTCCTAGAAGATAAGAAGCCAGAAAAAGGGGTATCACTTACTTTTTTATACATACTGCTAAACTGCATTCCATAAATATTATGTCAATTTACACTCCCATTAACAATGTATGACAAGTTTCCTTTCAATACCAAATACTAACTTTTTTAATGTTTGCCAAACTAATGAGGAAACAGAATCTCAAGGATGGTAAAAGTCCTTAAATTCAAGATGATCACACAGTATTAAGTGAAAAAGCTAGTTAAAGCAGAGAATCACAGAATATTTTAACTTAAATATTTACTATTGTCTAAAGCATATAAGTAAACAGTACATTTCTTTGCATTTGAGTGTAATGATTCATATTCCTAGTGACCTATCTTGCATCAATCATACCCATGATGTGTGTGTGTGTGTGTGTGTGTGTGTGTGTATGTGTGTGTGTATGGTATTTTCCAGTTGGGGTTTCTTTTAAGTAAAATATGAACTTGAAAATACTTGGGAATCCACGAAAAAGAATGAGAAAGAGCTCTAAGAACTCAAATGGAGTGACTTCAAGACATTCTATTTAGGAAAAAGAAGTACTGTATAAAACAAATGTTTATAGTATGTTTACTTTCTCAATACCAATCTCTTTTAAAAGGAACCAAGTCTCCTCAGAAATGACTGATTTCAAGGCTTAGCCTGAAATAACCTGACAAAAGGACAAGAAGCCAACTGAAGGGATTCTGAATAGCCAAATCTGAAAGAATCTGAACATAAAAATCAGAGTAATGAATTAAAATTCACTGAATTCAACAAGACTTCCATAAATTCACATCAATGATGAATAAATTAATGGGGGGGGTCCTCCAATAATAGGATGCTGTTCATATGAAAGACTGTTAGAATTAAATAGTCACCAACTTAACATCACCAATACAAGGATAAGCATCATGTGCCTCCTGGTGTGATGCACCAAGGAAGGTAAAATTTATTTAGGTAGTGCCAGCATACATAACCCAAGTCATAAGGAAACAGACAAATCCAAACCAAGGGACTTTCATAAGTGGTCTATATTCCTTAAAAATATCAATGTCAAGAAAGAAAGGGAGGGGCTGGCAGAGTGGCTCAAGCAGTAGAGCCCCTGCCTAGCAAGCATGAAGCCCTGAGTTCAAACCCCAGTTAACCACCTCCCCCTCACAAAAAAAAGAAAGGCAGGCAATGAAACCGTTCAAGATTTAGAGGCATAAACGAAATCTGTGATTCTGGATTGGATTCTGGGTCAGAAAAATAAAAACATTTTTTTCTACGAAGGGCACAGGAAAAAATTAACATATTGTTGTCTAGATTAAATAATAATCAGATAATCAGATCTAGGTTAAATAATAATGATGCATTAATGCTTACTTCTCTATTTTTTGTAATTATATTGTGGTTATGTGTGTGTCTATTCTAAGGCAGCAGGTGCAGTATGTGGGGTAAAGGGACATGATGTTTTTAACAATCTCAAATAGTTCCTAAACTGAGGGGTTTTCAGGTACACATAGTTTCTATTTATAAAATTGAACTGGCAGCACAAACTATAGCACCTGCTAATTCTCTGGAAGGCTTACAACCTACATTTCTCATAAATAGCCACTAGATGACACTGTTTGTGACAGTCTAACCCCAATGGCCTAGGTTTCCACAGGAAGCATATTTGTAGACTTATTTATGCTTTTTAAGAAATTGGTGATCCTTCATAAAGCACCAACATTGTACCCTCACAATTGGCTTTTGTCACAATGGCTCATAATGCCTTCCATGAACATAATCTGACTTCGCACTGCCTGCCAAACTCACCTGTCTACACGCTTAGGTCTGTGTTACTGTTACCTTTTCAAACAACTCTACAGACCGTCCTGTATAAAACAGCAATCTTTGCCATGTGCCCTCCAGCATTCCCCTTATTCTATTTTCATTCAGCACTTCAATACTCCCAGAGTGTAAGTTTCATGAGAGCAGACTTGACCTTGCTGCTGCCATGTTCTAAAGGCCTAGACCAGGGATATGTGCAAGCCATCTCTCTTTCATCTTTGTGATTACACATCATTCTTCAACTAGGGGCTTCTCTGCCCCCACCTAGCCCTGCCATGGAACTAGACTGTGAAGAAGTCTTAAGTACATTCTCTGGAACTAAGTGGAGTCATCAAAGTGACTACAAAGGAAGGATTCTCAGCACGGTTTGGTAAAACAGAGCAGGACTGGAAAGCAAAGCACAGGAGTCCCTGCAGAGGTAGTGCAGTAGCTATAACCAAGGTCTCTAGAGTGAGAAGACAGGTTTGAACCCAGTTGTGTACTTTACCAACAGAGCACCATGACTTTAACTGCTAGTTTAAGAAGTTCTCTGTGCCTCAGTTGCTTTATGTGAAAAATGAGAGAGGGAGTAATTCCTACCTCTCATGTGGCACTTGTGAGATTACAATTCTGTGCTTAAGTACAGGGCCTGAGCACAATTTCCAGCAATGTGCGTAGGAAACAGGGAAAAGGAGAAGCAAGTACCTGTTCATCTCCTCAACTTCTTGCTCCCGAGCACGCACAGGCATGCTAGGCACTTTCCCAGATGACAGAAATGAAGCCATGAGCAAAAGGAGCTACTTCTTCCATGGTGCTTACATTGCAGCATAAAGGAGCAAAAAGATAGTCCTCATTTACCTGAACCTATTCAGTTCTTAAGTTTCAGGTACAGAATCAGTTAAGGCTGAGAAGGCAAAGTCCCATTAAGGCCTATCTCATTGGACCAGGAAATACACGTTC